TGTGTGTGTGTGTGTGTGTGTGTGTGTGTGTGTGTGTGTGTGTGTGTGTGTGTGTGTGTGTGTCTGTGTCTGTGTGTGTGTGTGTGTTGGTCAGTAGGGCCCCACTTTGGTTTCAGTGGTCTTAGGATCTCTGCTTCCTGCAGATGATGTGGTTCTTCTGGCATCATCGAGTGATGTCCTCCAGCTCTCAGTGAGACAGTTTACAGCAAAAGGTGAGAAGCAGGTGGGGTGTGTGTTCAGGTGACCTGGTTCATGGTTCACACCTACTGGCAGAACAGGCTGATAACCAGCCTCAGCCCCACACCTGGATCCTGAAATGCCTAGAACTATACAAGAGAGCCTTCATCAGGAACCCAACAGCACAATTTACCATCAGGTGTGGGATCACTGACAAGACTGGCTACGGATACGACTACAGAGTGGAGCAGCTGTCAGTCACCTCCTGTACATGGATGACATCAAGCTGTATGTGAACAGGACATGAACTGATCCACACCAATGACATCGGAAAGTCAACTGGAGAAGTGTAGTCGAATGGTAACACAGAGAGGGAAGGTAGTCAGAACTGAGGGGATCGAACTCCAGAAGGCAATATTGCAGACATAGAGGACAGTTACAAGGACCTGGGGATCCCGCAGCCAAATGGAAACCATGAAGACCCTGCTAGGAAAGTTGCAACCACCAAGTACCTGCAAAGGGTCAGGCAGGTCCTGAGGAGTCAGCTGAACGGTAAGAACAAGATCCGGGTTATCAACACCTATGTCCTGCCCGTGATCAGGTACCCTGCTGGGGTAATAAGCTGGCCAAAGGAGGAGATAGAAGCCACTGACATCAAGACAAGGAAGCTCCTGACCATGCATGGAGGGTTTCACCCAAAGTCCAGCACCCTGAGGCTGTACGCTAAGCGGAAGGAAGATCAGAAAGATGACCCTAACCAACTGCGTGCTCAGTGAATACCTCAGGCAGCAGAAACCCAAGAAAGAGGAGAAACCATCATGGGAAGACAGGCCCCTGCATGGTATGTACCACCAGCAGATAGAGGAGGTGGCTGACATGGGAGATGCCTCCAAAGCTGGTGGAGAATGACCGAGCTAAGATCCTGTGGGACTTCCAGTTACAGACGGACAAAATGTTGGTGGCTAACCAACCGGACGCAGTGGTGGTAGATAAACAGATGAATCCGGCCGTAGTGATCGATGTAGCGGTTCCCAATGACAGCAACAGGAGGAAGGAACACGAGAAGCAGGAGAAATACCAAGGGCTCAGAGAAGAGCAGGAGAAGATGTGGAGGGTGAAGGTGACAGTGGTCCCAGTGGTAGTTGGAGCACTCGCTTCATGTCCAGAAGTTCATCAAACTGTGAAACACTCAGAGTAAAGAAAGATATTTAATATAACAGCAATGTTTCTGTGTCTCCCCATGGGTTGGTCTGACCTCACCTGTCTCACTTCTTTTAATGCACAGCACTAGTTTAGCACACACTGACACACTCAGCTCATAACTGTTTTTATGTTGAAGCCCATAAATGTGTCGGTCAGACCATAAAGCTGACCTCCTGCACCCATCACAGGTGTTCTTCAGCAGACAGACTGCTCCTTTAACTTTATTTAACTTTTCACTAGCTGGGCACACGTCCTCATTTTAGGATTGACAGCGTTTTAGTAGGTAAAGGTGAACATGAACTGAGCTGCAGTTTGGGGAAGGCCTCGAAGGGGACTGGCGATGGCTCCCGGGCTGGCAAACCCCCATGCACTAAATAGAAATGAAGAAGTTAAAGAATTGAGAACAAGGAGGGAGGGAGGGGCACGTAAACGAGAATGAACAGTTGCAGAACTGAGGGAACCTATAGGGCACAGGCGTCAAACTCCAGGCCTCGAGGGCCGGTGTCCTGCAGGTTTTAGATGTGTCCTTGATCCAACACAGCTGCTTTAAATGGCTAAATGACCTCATCAACAAGTCTTGAAGTTCTCCAGAGGCCTGGTAATGAACTAATCACTTGCTTCAGGTGTGTTGACCCAGGGTGATATCTAAAACCTACAGGACCCTCGAGGCCTGGAGTTCGACACCCCTGCTACAGGGCAACCGGAAGGAGCGTGTTTGGAGGCGTGGCCCTGCTCCTGAAATTCAGATACATAATCGCCAAAATGATTTGGTCTCTTCTTGTGCACAGATACTGCTGAGGAGCCATGTCTGCTGAACTCGACGATACCGACAGCGTGTTCGGTGAGTCTCTCTCACACACACACACACACACACGTGTGC